CCTTCAACTCCTATGTCCCATAGATCCCGCCTGAGATTATCCTCCCATCTACGTCTAGGTCTCCCCAGCTGCCTCTTCTCCTCAGGCTTTCCAAAAAAACCCGGTGCAAACCTCTCGCCCCATCCATGCACTCCATATGCCCCGCTTATTTCACTCTTCTTGGTTTAAAAACCCTGAAGATGTGACTGATTTAGGCAATATTAAGTCATGCCGCGTGTTTGTCATTACTCGAATAATTTAAATCTTCTTTTATATAAACTACGTAGACATTACTTATAAAATATCAAGTAATCTATAAAGTCTTAGGTGCTTCTGCACTAGTGAACCGATTTTAAAAAATTACGACAAAAATTTGCCATAGAAATTGCGTGTCCTTTGATGCAGAACCAGACAGTTAAGACATAAATTTTGGAAAAAGAAAGTTACGCCTTTTCATAGAAATAAAATTTTCGAGTTCTTCTCTCTCTGTAGAATTAGAAGTGCTTAAGAGCTTACATGATTAAGGACTTTCCTGCCTAAGTTACACATTTATATACACTACAAGCACAACGTCATTTATATTTACCAAAGGAACGCGAGAATTACAGTTGGGAACAGTCAAAAAAGCTGATCGTTGCTCTACCGCATGCGTGGGTGAGGCCTACTCACACACTGCAATGTGCAGGATATTCTGTGAAGAGTCGACTGGTACTCAGCTCGTAAAAAATAGCTCACTTTGTTTACTGAACCAGAAGGTTCAACATCGTGTTCACAAAAGCCCGCCACCGGGGTCCATTCTGAGCCACTTCGCTCCATCGAGTCCCGTCTCCCTGAGATCCATCTTAATGTTATCCTCCCACCTACGCCAGAGGTCTCCTCCCTTCAGGCCTCCCAACCAAAAAATTGTGAACTTCTCTCCCCTGCCCATCGCCTCCTAACAGCATCCGGTGAGGACCACAGGCCCTGGAGCTCGTCGTGCATTTTTCTCTCTTATCTGTCCCACTCCCGTTTTGGGTCCAAACATCTTCCTCAGCACTCTGTTCTCCGAGACCCTCAGTCTATGTTCCTCCCTCAAAGTGAAAGACCACGTTTTGCACCCATAAATCCTTTGCACTCAATAATAGCAAGCATTCCCCGGATTTAACCTGCTGATTTAGGGAGATTCGTCGATAATTAGGCTTTTAAATCCGGAATAAATATTCTTCACAGTTTCCTAAAACGCTTTAATAATGTCGATGTATCAAGAGATGAGAAGTGTTGGAATTATTATTCAGAATATAAACCCCACTTCTTAAGATCCATATATTTTTATTAAGATTCTAGGATATGAAACACGTTTTATTGTTTTAAAATTTAAAATGTTAATTGCCTACCGTAATATTATTTTACTATCAATGATGCCGTGAACAAACAGAAGTCAATCGAATATTACTTGAAATTGTGTTAAAAAGAAGACAAGCCTAATTCTCTTACACGAGTTCACAAATGCAGATGAAAACATTAAATGTGATGAACAACAAAAATAATAAATAGGAATTCCTTACCTCAAACTTTGATCAACTGTAAGAGACCACGAAGTCTACGGGCAATTACCAATTTAATCCAAACTAAAATGGAGTATCACAGATTTCTTAATAATTCTTCTATAAGATAAGAACTCGTGATATTCTAAGAGGTTTTTAAGAACACAAAATTATCTTCTCTACGACGCACTTCTACAAGCGATTCACAGCTCAGCTCTTTCCACACTAACGAAAGCGGATTGTTGACGGTAGTAATGAAACACAACAATGCCGAGTAAACAGATGACGCAACAATTAGTTTCTTAGGTAAAGGAATGGAGTGCAATACGGTTCATTCAGGCTATTATACTGCATGCATATTAAATGAGAAAAGAGCCTTACGGCATGCTCAGCCAA